CAAGAATCACTTGAGTGTTGATCAAAAGTTTGAGGTAATTTCCTTAGATTGTGCATTCATGGTTTAACAATGTGTGTGCTGCAACATGACTTAAAAAAATCAAGTAGAAGTCCAAAGTGAGGTACTTGAGGAGCGCCCACTAATAGGCAAGGAAAAGAAAACTAGTTCAAGAGATATGCTAATGCCCATGGACACTCAACTGCAGAAATACAAGTGGTTATTACAGATATGCTAGACAGGTGCAATGACATTGATGGTCACATTACAAAACTTGACTTTATGATCGACGAGGTCAAGTAGGAGATATAAGGATCTTTGATCGAGGTAATGCACGTGCTTACACAACAAAATAAGACCTTAGAGGTGATGGTGATTAAAGGTGTAATCAATCGAATTTAAACTGATACAGTACCAAGCTCGAGTCAATTCCAAATTTGAGGCTCGAAACCTAACTCAAACTTGATAGAATTTTATTTTTTTTAGCTCAAGTTCAACTAAAGATAGAAATCGAACTACTTGAGCTTGTCAAGAGGCTTATTTAACATGTAAAAATAAGCTAGATTCTTATATTCAACAAAAGCTCTATTATTTATACTTGAGCTTCAGGTCGAGTTTGAATTTTTTACAATTATTTTTTTATCAAACCTAATAAATATTATATTTTCAAGTAATAATAGCAACAATAATTTTAACTGAGACACAAAATTATCTCTCTCTATTTGAAAAGCAATAAAATTAAAGAATTATAACTGTACAACAAAAGACCCCAATTCTTCATATGCAGATAATCGAAACTAAAACCCACTTCAAAAGTAGGCCTAATCAAACAAATGTAGAGCACCCAAAAGAAACCAAAACAATGAAAGTGAGGACAAGAAATCAGAGTCAAAGATTGAGATATCCATTACCATTGAAGCATTGGATTTCTGAGTCTTGCAATAACTGTAAAATTGATTTTTTTCTCAAAAATACGATACATTCTCAAGTGATAGGAAACTAAAGCCATGGAAAAGAATAATGTTAAATTTTCTTACAAGTAACATAAAGCCAAAATGGAAAAGTAACAACCTTTGTGCAAAAGAGATACACCAGTGAATAAAAAAAGAACACAAAACACAAAGGCACACATGTAACAAAGAGCTTTAAGTTTAATGATGATTATCACTATGAACAATTACCTTGAATAAGAGATCTGTATCTCCATCAATATCAAACCAACAAAACTAATTGTTGGCTTTGCAAGCAGTGTACAAAGTAATATCTTTCTATAAATGAAGAAATGCAAATTGAAAAACACTATTGCATTCAAGTCAAGGCAAGTACCAAAATCAACTAAAAAGATTGACTGAAAAAAGTGCTAGAATTAGGATATTGATAGGGTTTTGTTAGTTGAGGAAAAGCAACGCTGTTGGCTTAGGGAAAGGAGTAGAAGTGAAGAAAGAAAAAGTGAAAAATGCATTACGATTTCTAATATTAAAGATAAATTAATAAATTAATAATTAAAATAATTAAAATATATTAAAAATATAAAAGATCAATTAGGCTCGCGAGCTACTTAACTCGGGTCATACGATAAGTCAAGTTACTCGAGCTTAACTTGACAATGATCAAACAAAATTTGAGTTTTCTACAAGTCAAATTTGAGTAGCTTGTGAGTATTGGTGTATCATTTATACTCCTAATGGTGATAGCCTTGAAAAGGGAACTGGGACAGCTCAAAGTGGATCATGCTATGTTGTAAGCTACCATGGTTGCTAGTTTGAGTTTAGGACCTAGGGTAAAGGTGTCTAAGTTAAAACCATTCATAGGAAGTTCCTTTACAAAATATGTGGAGTATAGGGCATGGAATAATATTTTTGAATAGTAGAGATAGCAAATGATTCTAAGGTAAGCACAACTGATATGTATTTGAGTGATAAATGCTCTATTATGGTGTTGTCACAAGTATGACGGTGTTAGACATAGTAAAAGAGCAATCACTACATGGGATTAGTTCGTGAAGGAACTAAAACAATAGTTTAGGCCAAGTATGTGGAAGATGAAGCTCAATAGAAGCTCTACAAGCTTACTTAAAAGGGAAAAGTTCAAGAATTTTGTTGGAAGTTCTAGAAACTATTGTTGGTAGCCTAAAGTATAAACCAGTATGAGGCTTTATTTTACTTCATGGATGGATTGAAGCCATAGGTAAAGATTGAACTACAATGAAGAGGTGTGCATGAATTAAGGCTATTATAGTTGTAAAATCATTGATAAAGTTTGAGTGCACTAAGTCTTCAAAGCTTAGAAAGAAAGGCAATAGTGGGGAAGACACAAGTAGCAGTTCCAATTTCGATGAAAGGCTTGATGGGAAGCTTAGATTTCACAAGACCAAGATCAATAGAGACAATGACAAAGAGTGAAAGTCTTGGAGTTACTTTTTATGTGTCGGTTTGCATTAGTTTTGAGAGTGCTCAATGCATAAAAAGCTTACAATCATCATGCAGGCAAAAGAGTTATTTAAAAATAAGATTAGTAGGGATGAACAACATCAAGAAGAGTCCAATAGAGGGTATTGTATGGCTAAATGCAACTTGACTTTGCAAAAAGGTGGAAACCTCTCAAGCTGATGAGGGAAAACATGTGGCAACTAAGTGCCATAGTAGAAGTCCTACAGTGCAACCTAATCCTTCCAAAAAGAGTGTACAGCAAGCAACTTAGAGGAAATGAAAGAAACATCGACAATACTAGAGGAAAAGACCATTGTATGATAGTGTTGAGGACACTCTAGTCAAGAGCAATATAGATCAACAGAGTATTTGTTCAAGTATGGGACTGAAACAATAGAAAACTAATCTGCTAGGTAGGAAATGAAACTAGCATACACCGAAGCATACAGAGAATGTGCAACATTCCCTTAGCAACGAGAATGTTACTAGAATGAGTAGGAAAAAATGTCATGGTCCATGTGATTGTCCAAGCCCTACAATTCTCTCTAAGTTAAGTAGAAGTTCTAGTTTAAGTTACAGTGAATTGGACAGCTAGGAAAATCAGGCCTAGAGGTGCACCAGAGATCCAAGGCATTGGGCCAAACCATATAGTATGTGTGCAGGTACTGAAAAGCACTCCAATGACCTAGGCCAAGTGCTCAAGTTTAGGAGCTTCTAGATAGACCTAGCTGTGGGCACCACAATAAAAACAAGCTAGAATGTTCTAAAACAAGATAGAGTTCTATTTTGTTTGAACTCTCCAATAGTGGCAATCGATGTAAATTTGAACTCTCATGTAATCTTCATGTAAATCTAGGACTCTATGAAAGTCATTAGATTGACTCAATCTCAATCATTGATATAAGGGGACTTTAACTATAAATAGAGGGTTTTCCGCCCTTATTTGTACACACAGCAAACCATTGAATAAATACAATTATTCTTGCCTTATCTCTCTTGTTCTTTACAACATTTCCTTACACATAGCAAACCATTAAGTGAATACAATTATTCTTGTCTTATCTCTTTTGTTCATTCTAGCATTTCTTCAAAAATTTTATGTACAATGTTATTGTGCAATAGCTTGACCAATTTAACTTGGAGTATTGAGATCATGTTTGATACACAAGTTTATGATAGGATAAGATAAGATGATATTATGAATATGATTAGATTAAATAATGTAATATTATCTTATGTTTGATGTGTACAAGGATTAAAATAGGATAATTTATTTATTAATCAAAATTATCCTTCCTCAAAGTTTATACAATTTAAATTATTGATATAATTGTTAAAGGTATAATAGGACATGTAAATTTAATCTCATTGATTAAAAATAATCTCCACTTGGGAGGATTGAATTATCTTATACTAAGAGAATAATAATCTTTTTTGTAATTTTATCATTTTTATTTAAGTACAAATCAAACATAATATATAATGATTATCATATTATCCTATCTATTATCCTATATACCAAATATAACCTAAGTGTCTAAGCACTTGTTTGAGGAGTAGGCTGATCATTTTTTAAAATCTCAAAAGCATCTGCCCTGGTCATTTTTTTTTTTTTTAAATTCTTATCTTGGTAACTCATTGGTAACACAAAACAGCATTGTTTTATAAAATTTTATTTGTATTTTATACAGGAAAAAGAAACATCCATTTACTGTGAAGTTTCTCTTCATATCTTTTTTAAATTTTTATATAAAAAATCTCTCATCAAAATTTTAAACTATCATTATTTTTCGTTGTTATTGTTTTTAAAATAATATTTATTGCTTAATTACAATTAATCGAAATCACTACTATAATTAATTATATATCATCTATGATTATTATAGTACATTTAATTAATTATAATTTATGTAACATTCATAAAAAATTTATGTAAAATCCACTCTTACGGGATAAACTTCTATATAAATTTTTTTATTCGTAATTATAAAATTATAATAAAAAAATTGTAAATGAAAGGCTTGCTCATCTTCCGTTTAAGCACATGCTATTTCAGTGTTATATGCAAGTATCCTGTGTACCTACTGAAACTACATAAAACATATTTCCGTGATTTTGCTCTCAAAGAGTGTAATGTAAGACTTCACCTTTTTCTGTATGCTCGTATTCCGCGTTTGATCTCAGCAGACACAATATTCCTTATCCATTTCATCCTCAGTCTTACGAAATATTTAGCCTGAAATTCTTTCAAGTAAAATAAAGAGATCAAGTTATCTACTTTCACATCAATGCTTTTATTTTTTTTCTTCAAATGATTTCAAATGGATGATTTTTCAAATGACATAATCTGTGTCAGCTGAGACCTATCCTGTCAGCCGGGGACGGATTCCAATGGTGTGTTAGAGTATTTATGGACAAATAAAAAATTTAATGAAAAATAAGAAAATATAAATAAAAATTTCTCCGGGACTTACAAAATTTTTTTTGAACACTTCCATTAAAAAAATTAGGAAATTTATTGATAATATTTTATATATATTATAAATAAACGTCTCATAAAAAAAAAAAAGGAATTTGAATCTGTTACTGATTAATCAAGGATCAATTGCACTTTGCACGTCTCTTTGAGAGTGATAATTTTTCAGAGTACATGCAGATACTTATCTTTTGACAACATCTTTTGTACATTCAAAGTAACATACACAGCCAAAGAAGTCAATTTTGCAATTAGATACCTTTCTTTTCCGTTTGTGTTTTCATGCTGCTGCTGCTGCCGCCGCCGCTGATGCTCTGCTCTTGTGCTTTAGCCTGCTATCAGATTCCCTTATACATACCTAATATGACAGATAATCCTGGGAAAGTTTTCGCTCTAGTACGTTCAGTAAGCTGCTTTCCCTTGGCTAAATCCAATGCAGTGAAAACTGCAGACTACTAATGCTGTCAAAGAAACTCAACAACAAAGCCAAACATTTTCATCAACTGTTAAAACTTTTCTTTCTTTTTTTTTTTTTGGGGGGGGGGGGGTCAGTATCAACTGTTCATCTACTTAATACAACGGAGAGCAAATTGAAAAAAGCAAGAGAGAAAAAGGAATATAGAATATCATTCTCATTGCAACTTGAGGTCCGATCAAATTGGCATTTGACCGAAACAAAAGGTTGCACAAATTCAAACCTTCTCCTTTAGCTCTGCAATGGGAATATAAATAAAGGATTCTTCGTGTAACTGCTTTTTATTCAACTTCCTAGCTTTGCTAGTTTCTAACCTTAATAATGTTTGCTTCATATTCTCAAGCCTAACCTTAGCCCTACAAAGCCTTTCCATCTCTAACTCAAATTCTTGTAATCCACCCCCAACAATAATGCTCACCCTCTTCTTCTCCCTCTTCTTTTTCACATTTAAAAGCTTCTTCAAGATCAGATCGTCACTCAGCTCCTTACCGACCTGAAAGACAGAATGTTAACAAATGTCAAAGCATGAAACATGTAACTTTAAGTTGGTGCTCAGATATTTTTGTGTGTGTCTATTTAAAAATTTTATATCATTAGCACTCCATTAAGTCACTACATGCTTTGGTTTCTAATGAGCGCCAAAGCTGTAAAATGAAATACATAAAATAGGTCTTGCTATGTAATTGTTAAATCCAAAGTTGGAACTCCATTATGCCAGTCAATGATTGATCATTTTCATTCTAGATTACATATTCTGCAGTAAGTGAACTTAATTCAATGAAATGCAAGGAAACCTGCATATTCTCAAATAACATCCAATCCTAATGTTACGAGCCATTATGAAGCAACTTATAGACCGCTTAGACAAAGGTAACAAAAGTTGACCTTGATCAACCATTCCTAATTGAAGTGAAATGTCAACAGCCTGAAATTTAAGCAGCCAAAACTACCCCAACTCTGAAGCCCACACAAACAAATAGCGACCTAAAACCAAAAATGACATTTAAGTTGAAACTTGATCTGCTCTTTATCTAAAAAGGTTGGCTTACTCAGTATAAAAACTACTTTACACTATATTTGGGATTAAAACGGGTAGAAGGGGAGAAGATGAAGGAGATGACCTTGAGAGGGAAAGAAAGAAAGAAAGGGTTGTGTTACAAATTTTGTTTGGTTAGATACTGAAAAGACATTAGAAATAATAACTCACTATTTATTTTACAAGCATGCCATTTTTAAGTCAAAAAGAAATGTTAAAATCAGGGCAATTCTGTCAGCATAATATAAATTGTTCAGTGAGGAATCCCCTCCAAATCCTCTCAATTTGAAGGACCTAAAAGAAATTGGGGTTCAGAAATTTTTTTCAAAAATACATTACCTCCTTCCATAAATTTTTTTCTTTTCTTTCCAAACAAGGGAAAAGATATCACCCCCCCCCCCCCCCCCCCAAATTCACAATTCTACTGGATAGAGATAGCTATTCATATCACTTTTTTGGCAATCTTGAAATCAAGCAAGCTCGGTCATTAATGATATTACACAACACTTGTCTTGCTTAAGGCAGATTGCAACATATTTTTGTTAAAACCATCTAGAAAATAGTCTTGAATAAGAATTCTTATTCTATTGGCCATTAAAATTAATCCTTTCTTTAGGTTACTTGTTTTAATCACTATGATAAATCAAGTGAAGAGAACAAAAGAGAAGGGGAAAGGGAGTCCAAATTACAACCAAAACTTAGCCAAATTACCTTGTTGCTGTTTGTAGGTGAAACAACTGAGAGTCCATTATGTGGGCTTCTCTCTAAAGAGGTGTCTAACAACTTTGAGTTTGGACTCTTTCTCACTTTCTTTTTCAATATCTTTGGTGTATGTAATAAAGTTGGTTCCAGCATATCTTCCAATGCCATGATATCAGGATCTTTCCTCTCTGGAGCTTCCATTCCAGGTTCCTTGGAGACTCTAGGAGATGAACTCTGAAGGTGATCTGCTCCCTCTACCTGATACACACAAGAACCTGTGAGAAAAACTTAGAATTTTTGAAAATATAGATGAAGCTTTTTAAAATTAAAATTAAAATCTCAAAGACTTTCTATGAATCTCAATATCTCCTGTCACCAGCCACAAGAAAAAGACTTGGCCAAAAATTAGCAGTTAAAAATTCTTCTAGCTTTCACCAGTTCCAAAAGAAATGCTATTGTATAGCAAAGTAAGTAATTAACAACTTCTAGAAGAAACAGCAATTGATAACATCTAAGAAACCAGCCAAGGTTTGAACAGCACCAAAGACTTACAAATGCATTTTTTTTTTCTTTTGAGAAATCTAAACTTTCACCATCAATCAGAGAGGAGAGTTGGTGGAAGTCTTAATATATTATAAGATTTAAGTCCAAAAGTCCAAATTCCAAACATAAAGATGTAAAGAAGAAATATACAGAAGATATGGACAAAATGTATAGAAGAAATGAACATGTGCAATTACAGCAGCGTGCATGGAATGCAAACAAACCTTTCTGCTCTTTAGTGCCAAGTAGCGGGCGTTCTTGAACCATTTATTTACCTGGAACATGAAAGTCAAGGATAAGAACCAGCACGTGTGAGGAACAAAAAGCCAACAACTTACAAAATGTAAATTCTCTATTGCTATTTTGAACTTGCTACCAAATCCACATGCCATAATGATTATTGTATTCTCTTAGTGATAACTGTGATATTAGCCCACACAGATTAAATGCTAGTAGATACCATAGATGTATAATATTACCCTCTATTATTCTGACATGAAGCTACACACCAGCAAATATCTGGGAAAGAATACTTTCATCATAAAGCAATTGTAACAGTCGGTTGGTCACTCAGATTTCCAGAGAAATATTTGCAAATATGATCAGCAAAATGCATTATCAATTTCTAGACACCTGTCTTTGAAATTTCAATATTTTGTAAAGCTTTGTTGCTACCTTTTCAGGCTCAAGGCCCAATTCCTTTGAAAGATTCTCCTTGATGACTCTAGAAGGAAGTTCATTCTCAGCAAACACCTGACGGAGTTTCTGGAAGGGCATAGAAAAAAAAAGGAGAGCACAAATAAGCATGATGAAAAATCCATTTCTTCTTAATAGTAGCAGAGGGTGCAGAAAACAGCTTGGTAAAGGAAAGGAGCCTCCAATCATAAACTTTTATTGGGGAATTCAAGCATTTCCTACCTCTACTGCAGCAGGAGGAATTCTGAAAAAAGGCCGCCTGCTCTTCAGGTCTGAAGGTAGTTGTCTTATCATTTCTGTTGCATCAGCATTTATAAATTTTGTCTCACTTTCATACAAAGTCATAAGCGTGCTGGCAGCATCTGACTCTTTTTCTCTACGCTTTCTTTTACCAGGACCCCAATCTTCATCTTCACTGACTTGCTCAAATGTAGGAGCATCCTTTCCAAACATTTCCTGCCAGAAAGGAGAAACATAAGGTAAGACAAAACAGTTAAGTAGCCTGCCACAAACAACATGCAAAACTCTGCATTATTGAATATCCCAATATAAAATTTTAGGAGTTAAACGTTTTGTTGCTTAAGCAACACTATGGTGGCAAATCATAAGCATGTTCAACAATTATCTAACATTTTCCAATGTCATGTACTACCATACATTATAAATTCCAAGGACAAAGCAATGACACATAACAAAAGCTTTCTTCTTTGCAGACATTAGTACCAAGTTCAACTCCTATCCTTCAGCCTACCCAATTCTACAACTCCCAAATGTGCCTCTTTTCTTTTCTTTTATTTCCCTGTTATGTGTGCCCCTACCCTTCCTTGTTGAGAATTCACTTCAGAGATTCAATAAATCACTTAAACTTCCACCATCAACATGTATTAACGTCAACTTATTTTTCCTTGCTTGAAAGCTGATAACAAAATTGTTCAAATGATCCGCAAATTGCTTCGACACCTATTCACACAGTGATTAGTTAAATGGTTGACACTCACATCATATAGCTTCTTGTAATCAACAGCTCTTCGCCTCCTACGGCCACAAATAATTTCCCCATCACTGGTTTCAGAAGAATCTGCACCACTGTCATGGTTTTCACACCTTCCAGATCCCGAAAAATCTTCACCATCCACAGACCAACTCAAACTGATTGAACTGTCTGTATCCTCTGATTCATCACCATCAGTGGCTGTGCCACCGATCCTGCAGCTGTTTTCCCTCCTGTCTGGGTCATAATCATCATCTTCAGAATCATCTGAAGGCCAATCCTCCTCCGGATTTAATGATGCAATTGCATCATCAGGGAAAGCAGCTTCATCTTTGAAAATATCCTAACACATGAAGAATGACATTTTTAATTTGATTAATAGAGCAGTTAAAAACAATTCAAGTACAAAGGGCAGGAAAGGGGATGATGCTCAATAAAGATTGTTATAGTAACCTGCCAATGGCTGTCAACAGAGAAATTGGTTCCAATATGAGCATTCATTGCTTCTATAATTTCCATCTTACACTCACAAAACTTGCAAAACCAGCCCTGATCTCCCGGAGGTACTGTGCGTTAATAATTGAATGTGTCTTATTGTGAAGCCATTTAATTTATAATTCAGAACAACTTATTTACACAATTTGAACTTACTATTTTCGGTGTCCAATGGAGGATCCAGGCACTTTTGGTGGAATGCACAGTTGCATGTTCCATCACAAAGTACTATATCATTATCTGGAAAAGCATCACGCAACTTGCACTTTGCACAAAATATCTAAAGAAATTGATAACAGAATATGAGAATATGATTATAACCGAGGCTTCAATAATATCAAGAAAACATGATTTATAGTTTGCAATAACAAACATGGAAGTTTACGTGTTCATGATAAACAGATCCATCTGGAGCAATAACAGATCCTTCAATGCTGCCTACTGAACTAAGTGAATCCAACTGGCGAATTGCCTCACGTATCCCAAGTTTGCACTTCAATATTTGCTTCTTTGCTCTTTGCAGTTCCTTTTCTGGCCTAATCTTTTCTCGACTGAGATAAAACAAGATAATCAAAGTAAATGGATAATAGCCAAAAAAAAAAAATAGGTCCAATCCAACTATAAGTAATTGATTTCTGTTGAATGCTTTAACATGATAGAGTTCAAATTTTTTATCATGTCATTTTCACTGGTAAATGTGATCGCCTGTCTTCCCTAATTGTTCTATAAGCTTACTATAGGTGGAGAGTTAAGTTGTGTTATATCTTACATTAGTTTGATTAGGCTTTAGTTGTGTACTTATACTTAAAGGTCGAGCCTGTAAGAAAGAATGTTCCAAACCTTTGACCCTTCCAACCTTCCCCAGAGTAAGCATCAATAAGACTCTGTTCCAGCTTCATTTTAATCAGAAGGTACCTTGTTCTCCCCTGCAACCGCGATGCTTCATCCAGCTCCACCTTATCTTTTTGCCCCTTCTTTTTCTTCTTGCTTAGTTTTTTAATTCCAACATCTCCATTATCCTTTTTACCATTCTCCTCCAAACTACCAAATGAGGCATTTTTACCTCCAAGCTTCGACGGATCCAACTTCTTAGAAGACACTTTCTTGTTTGTTTCACCACCAACTTTTCTGCTGGAAGAGACATCACTCGCTGTCCTCTTGCTAATAGAGGCAGTAACTTTCCTCTTCAACAAGGTTGAACCAACTTTCTTCACATGATGTTTGGGTTTACGTACTCTGCCATGCGATATTTTGCTTCGTTTTTTTAATTTTAATGCAGCAATTGGCTTAGACCCAGCTTCTCTCTTAGAAGAAGAGGGTTTGGCAGATTCATAATCAATAAGTTTCTTTCCAGAACCACGCATTCCGATCTTTGCTGTACCAAAACTGAAAACATTTGGATAATGCTAATAAGTGACTATTTCTCTATATAACACCTAGAAATTAGAATGCATACAACACAACTTAACTGCATCATCTCGATTTCCTTAACTAAAGAGAGAAGCTCAAAAGGAATCAAGATCATACCACTTTTTTACAATCATATGATTTTTACAGTTCGCAACTCAACAGACACTATCAATGAGGCATTATCAATCTACTCGAAGAAATGTTTCACCTAATAATTGATATTTCTTTTCATGATTTGATTGTGAAAGCAAGGAAAAGATAAAGAAGAGGAAATTGAAGGTGGGAAGTAAATAAAGAAAACAAGAGGAAAGCAGGCACGATCACCCTCAAAAACAACAACCCATTGGCAACTGACCTGCTGAAAGATGCTGAAACTGTTTCGTGCTCTGCATATAAAAGCAAATAAGGGTTTTAAATGAAATTGATTGATTTCACTATAATAAAAGAAAATTAAAAAAATTGGGATTTCGGTGCCGACAATGATGAAAGAATGGATGAAATTGGGTTCTTCCCAAACCGCCGCACCAACGGTCGCCTCTCTATCTCTCTTTATAGTTGTATAGGAGGAGGAGTCTACTCTTCTTTTCTCCTTTTCTACGTTTTCCAACTTTTCTATTGCACTTCCACCTTCCCTTGCATCTTTCTGTTTTTCTTTTTTTTTTTTTTCTGTTAAAATTCGCTTGTGCTAATTTGCACTGAACAAGATTTTTCTTTTTTTTTTTCAATTACGTCATGCAATTTCATTTTAAAATAAATACCATCTTCAACAGTATGAACAAAAAGAGTTGTTCCACTTCTAATTTTTCATTAAAGAAGATTGATTTTTTTATTCAAAACTTAACGGATATGATTTAATGAGATACATACATAGGTTTTTTTTTTATTTTTTTTTGCCAACAGATATTTAGATAGGCTGAAACCTAAATATTTGATTTATACAATTCTATTTAGTTCAATTTTATTAATTGAGTTTTAAACTTCCTACCTCCAAAACAATTATTTCGTCCCATATATAATGGGGTGATTCAATTGTTCTTAGTCTAATTTTTTCAACTTCGATCCAAATTATTTTAAATATTTTGTCAAATTTAATTTTAAAAAATATATTTGTAGATTAATATTTTCAAAATTTTAAGGGAAACTTTTTAAAATTTTAATAATGATCATTTGAAAATAAAATAGAGTCAAAGTTAAAAAATTTTATAAAAAAAGGTCAAGACCTTATGTATGCAACAAATAGAATATTGAAATTTTAAAAAGAGCTAAATCAGTTGTGATTTTGCTTTATTATCTTTTTGGATTATTTTAAAATGGCAAATTGCACCTACATTCTCGTAGATTCAACTTTTTAGGTTAAATTTTGTGGTATAAAGATGGTAAATTTGACTTGAATTTGAAAATTTTATCTTAACTTATATTTAAATTGATATAATAAGATTTGATTAAGAAAAATAAATTAATTAATTCATCCAATCTAGATTTAAAAATTTTCAAACCTAAATCAATCCAAATATGATATTAGATACGTAAGTGATTGACTTTGGTGCAAATTAGAGATTGTTGGTATATGCCTTACAAGCTGAATCGATTTTAGTGAAAACATTGTCATATTGTGATATTTTATATCTCATAAAAGTCTTGGTTATTTTATCATTAATCTTATATATATGTATATATATGTGTATGTGTATGTATATATATGTGTGCATAATTGTTATTAATGCTTACATGATAAAGTCTTTAGAATATAAACAAAGCTTTGTAAGATAATTACAATGAGATTATAATTATGGGATCTTCATTGCATAAAAGTTATATTCATAAATATTCTTAGTTGATGTTTTATTAATAAAAGAACATTGATGAAAGTTGTTGAGATTAGTATATGGTTATGCTCTTATTAATAAAGTAAGCAATCGATCTTATAAGTTGAAGTTTGGTTAAACTTAAGCTAACATGTAGGTATTTGTTAAAAGAACAAGTTCACTAAACATGACCTGAGATGATAATGCTATATGGCAGTTCATATAGTGTCTATAGCATATTATCATATTATGGTTGTACAAGCGATCCTCGAACTTGGGGTTACTTATGACCTTATATGATGAGTGTTATAATTTTACTTTACTCATGACTATAATCATGAATAATCTAATCAGGTATAGTTGGGTATAACATGGAACATATGAAAATGCATGAAGTAATTAAGATAGAATTCATCATCTTGTGTGATCATCAAGAGAATATCTCAATTAGTCTTAATTAAATTAACTCAAGAAATTTTTCGTCAAAGTAAAATAAAAATTTAGAATCATTCTAAAACTTAGTTATGAGTTAATATTAATAACAAAACCTATTATGGTTAAACATAATTGAGTAGATACTATTCATGCTCAATGTTAAATCGATATGCTTAGTGATGAAAAGATATTAATTATACAACAAGATCATGTAAGGATAGGTTGTCAAGTCATACTGATTTTTTTTTACAACTGAGGGTCATAGTAATATAACTAGTATTTATCATGATTTATAAACAAGAGATTGGCTAATTAAAGAATTAGTGATGAAATCAAAAGGTTGATTCATCTAAGTTCGAACCTAAAGATTACAACATTTGCGTTTATTACCAACATATTGAAGAACTTAATAGGGCAAACACAATAAGACAATTATGAAATATTAAAATTAGGACAAAATAAGTTGGAGTTAATTTAGATTGGGTTAAGCCCAAAGATAGAGGAATTAATAAAAAACCCAATATCTCCTTATTATAGTAATCGACATACATGAGAACTAATTATGAATTGAGTTACTCTATGCTAATCCTAAAGTAGTTAACCTTTCTCTTATATAAAGAACATAAGTTGTCTTTCTCAAGAAAAAAAGAATATATATACTTTCATCTCATGTATTGAGAACAAACTTGAAATAAAAGAAAAGTGAGATTTCACAATAGCTAAAGTATCGATTTAGTTCCTCCTATCCCTGGAGAATGTTTTTCATACTTATTCATGTAAATCACCATTAGAGGTTGGACGTTTGGACAACTCTTGGCTTGCTACAAATAAATTTGAAGATTTCTTGCTTGGTGATTAAAAAAATCAACATAAAAGGTAACAAGCTCCTAGCTGAAATTTACTTCTCATGTTTATATGATCTTATTGATTGATTTTCACTTTAGAGAGTTAAAAAAATTTAAAATTACACTGTTATTACTCTGATATTGATGCACAATTCCCTTCATTTTAAATAGTAAATTCTATTATTTGTTGATTATCAATAAATTCTATCTCTACTTCTTTCTCTTCGTTACATTTGGATAAAAAGATATAAACCTTGAATATTAATAACCATAGTCTCTTAACATCTTGTACTTGAGAATTTCAAAAAAGTTTTTATTATAATGATATTGTTACTTAATGTTAATGACTTTGCATTGGGCAATTCGTGCACTTAGATTATATAACCTTTAATTTTTTACTTTTGCTAACAATTATTGACAATTACCTAACATTTGTCAAGTTTGAGGAATTTTATTTGGAAGGTAACAACATACCTCATTAACATTACATTTAAAGATTTTGGGGTTAAGGTTAAGACAAAGTAATGAGGGATTTTTCATTTTTTTAGTTTGGAAGAGAGAAAGAAAGAGTGAGTTATTAAAAAATAATGAAAAATAAAAGACAAAAAATTAGGAAAAAAAGAAAAAAATTTATGGTTTTGGGTAAAGTAACAATAAAACTAAGTAGTCAAGTGTCATCTTTCAAATCGTAAGAGAAAAACATTTTCAATCTGTCTCAAACTCCATTGTATTTTTATGTAATTTACCTTAAAATTAAATTTAATTTCATTAACTAAAATTATAAAACATCTAAATACATCAATTGTTTAAGAAGTTAACAAGTAATATACAATGACATTTCATATGTGTTCTAACTGCTCAAAGTAAGAAAATAAAAAGTATAAAAGTGATGATAGTTAGGAGTTTAAACACTACATTAAAAGAAAATTATCTACACTAAGTTCATTAGCATGTTTAGGAACCTACTAAAAAACTTAAAACATTTATTTGAGATAATAGTAAGCTTTAAATATAAAAAATAAAAAAGTACTTATTAAATTTTATATTTGAATGGCTAAGTTAATGGACTACTTAAATTGTTTTCTAAAGCTGTTTTCCATAAAATTCATAAAAATGTTGAATCATTCATGCAGTTATTAGTATCTATTATGCTCCCCCTCTATTTGTGTACATTTAATTTTTCTTTTTTCTTATATTTGCTCAATATATGCTTGCATATATTATAATCTCTTTCTCAATTGAGAACCTATCTCAATTTGTGAACTAATTAGGAAAAGCAACGTTGAGAGCAGGTAAATTTTTGAAAGCTATGTCCATAATAATTGAATGGAGTGGACCTATTCTAAGGCATCGAATATGTTCATGTCCTTTTTCAACAATTTTAATGAGAATTCAATCTTTCACCTTATTAATGTTTACAAATGCATCAGATGATACTTCATACTTAGTCAATTTATTAGTACAAACTATGTTAATTTTTCAAAAAGAGTTTCATTTCTTAATACAAACGTTGTTATGTATATTGAAAATGTGTGTTTCTCTTATAAACAAATACAAAAAAATATATAATGGTGCTTTTACTAATAAACACTACTAAGATATAATAAAAAGTGCTATACAAACATCATTGACGCCTTTGTAAATAATGGTGTTATTGAATACAAATGTTGCTAAATATATTGATAATGTTGTGTTTTGCTTATAAAAAAAATTTAGGGAAATACTCTTGGTAACGCTTTTACTAGTAAACATCTTTAACATTTTAAAAATCACAGCAATTATTAGTACAAACGCTATTAACATCTTACAAATTTCGATTTTTTTTATAAAAATGCTACTAAATATAGCTAAAACTTTACATTTTGCTTACAAATAAATTTAAGAAAAAACATATTAGTGTTTTAATTAACAAAAACCATTAAGATCTAAAAAATCATGGCATTTTAAAATATAAATATTGTTATATTATGCATTTTACCCTAAGTCGAATACTCAATCTTTTTTTCACACTTCACTTTTAAAATTTACCAAAATGTGTATATGTTAATGGCATTTTAGGATAACAAATGCCTTTATTTTTCAATTTAATGATATTTACTCTTTACATAATTTTCATTTTTATATGATAATAACTCACAATATTTTTAACTAAAATACCAAAAAAAATTTTGTGAAAACCTCATTTCTATGCAATGTCTCTACCTTTTGTCCTTTTCTATATTCCTCATCAAAAACTATAAACTAACAACTTATTCTCTTATTTTTCTCTCCTTTTCTCAAGTTCATATCACTTGTAGTTAGCTCTTCTATAATCTTATAATTCTTTAAGTTGGGGCAAAGAAATATTGACATGTAGACCTTAAATCCATGTTACTCTTGATGCATAATGTTTACAGCAAAAATTAATAATTTCTTCACTAATTTATCTAAAATGAAAATCTATTTTTATCCATCTAAAGCTTTTTTTTTTTAAATTTCTCTCTTCTTCTCGCAAGATCATAATTCTCTAAAACAAACCACAATAATAACAAGTAAAAAGCTTCAAAAATCAAGTTTTTATTCTATTAATTTTAGGATTAAAGCTTTTTTTAATCAAATTTGCCTTTAAAAAATTAGCATCCCATTCGATACCTCACTAACATTTTTTGTTCTTCGGTTTAGTCGGTTATTTGT